GCGCGCGCCCCGCCGCCGTGCCGCTCGCGCATGCGCACGGCCGCTGCCCAGGCCCTGCCCCGGGGCACGCGAGGYCCGGAGCGAGCGGCCCTGGGGCTGCCCGCAGGACGGACGGACCGACGGACCCCGGCCAGCGTTTATCTGGCTCCCGGGCTCCATACGAGTTGGGTTAAACCTGTATAATTGGGCTAAACTCGTGTATTCTTCCAGGTGCTGTGTGGGGAGTGGTGGTGTTAGGTGTTGTGCGCACAGGCCTGGAGCTGAGCGTTGCGTTAGGCGCTGAGGCGTGTGCCGGGTCCGGTGGGTGCAGAGGGGCACCCGCCGGCGGGCGAGACGGCCGCTGTGCTTCCCTTCTCGGAGCTAGGCTGCCTCTTAGCGCCCGTGACTATCCGGCCCCCTTTGCGTAGCACTTAGTTTAAAGTAGTGCTGTATTTTGGGGTGCGAGCTGTCGGCAAAGCAGGTTCGGGGTGTCTGTAGTGCCGCACGTGCCCTCCCTCCTGGAAAAAACTGCTCTTAGTTAAATTACAGCAGGTGCTTGTGCKCTGTGGTTAAACACAGGCGTTAATTGTAAGCAATGGTAATTCTTGAGCAGAACTGAAGTGTTCTTCGAATGGTCATGATCATCCCCATASTATATATTTATTCCAGTGTTTTTGTTAAATTATGGTTGGTATTCACAGGGTTGGTGATCAGATGTCTGTGTCTGGTCTCTAGTTTTCCAGACTTGGGCCAAAATATCTGAGAGTGTTCTCGTTATAATATAGCTCCATAGCATCCTGTGGCAAGGACCACTTCATAACTTCTGCTGCTTTTACCTTTTATGAGAAAAATCCCACTGGTAATTAGTGAACTCCCCTACACCTAACTGAAGCGCTAACCAAAAGTAGCGGCGCATCATCCAAACCGGCATCTTAAAGCAGCCCGCATCCCCAGGGAGAAACTGGATTCCARTGTCCTCTGCTTCCTGGGGTGTAACACAGGCCTTGCAGATGTGTCCCCGCTTAGCTTGRAACACGTGGCTAACCCGGGCGAAGCCAGGGGCTCGCCTGCATGGACAGAGTTAACGGGGTGCCCGAGTCAGCTCCGGCCATAGGTTATACTGTAAACTAAAGTTGCTGAGAACTCTCTAATTTATCACTATCAAAGATCTGGATCTTGTGAGAAGAATCATGAGGAGAGAGTGTTGCAGCTGCTGCAGTGAGTGAGAAGGAAGCAGTTGTCCTGCTAGACTATTGCTTTTTTTCTATTATTTATGTATACGTATAATAGATTTCTTAGTTGCAGTTTAATCTCAGCTGGTGCTTTTTTATCTTTTTTTCCTTCTCACTTCTTCCCTATTGCTGCAGATTTKTGTAGGGAAAAACAAACTGAAGGAATGCTGATTTTCCGTTGTACTTGTTCTGGCTGGACAGGCTAAAATAATGGGCTTTTGGATTTGTGGAAGATGACTTTTTATTTTAATAAACACTTGCTTGTTGCTGATGTAAAAAAAATCTCTCCAAAACTGCCTGTTCCTTTTTATCTCTGTGTTAGTCCCTGGCACTTTTGTGATGTAGAGTTTTATGTTTAGTTATTTGTGTTAGCTTATAGCCTAAGTAGAAATTCCTTGTTAAGTATAATTAGCAGATTCTAGTCTTGGATGTGAATTGCTGGAATAAGAGGACTGCCCTTAAGTGTGGGGGGTTTATTTCCTATCTGCCAAATTAATTAATGTTTTCAATGCACTAGCTACAAGATTTAAATTTTTTTAGGTGCTTCCAATGGGCTTAATGTCRAGACTAATTGATGCTTAGACTATAATACTGTAAATTATAGGGATGTGATGGACCATAGAATTTTTTTTTTTTTCAGATCTTTGAAGTAGTTATTACAGAACAGCTCCCTAACTACTGCACACACATTTCTTAAGCAGGAATCAGGAACACAGGACTCTGGCAAATGGTGTGGGCTCATTGTTACATTAAGTACCTGTTTCATCAGGTGAATGCACTGTTTGCTCCAAAAGCAAGTCCCCCTTAATTCTTCTATGCTCTCCCCTCTCCATTTGTGAGCCGTTTTGCCACAGGAAGGCAAAGAGGGTGGATACGAGGGGAAAAACTGCTTGAACACTGTGCTTAAAAATATTGAGGTCGTGCCCTRTGAGCACTTTGCAGTGCAGGGGTGTTGGTGGGATGGTCCTTGGCAGGGCTGTGGTTGAGCAGGACTCCGAGCTCTGCCTTGCCCGTCAGAGCACATCAGTCACATCCTGGGGCTGGCTCCCTCCAAGGCTCGTGSCCAGTTTTCATCTCCCTGATCACGGCATGTGGAGAAGAGGTTCTTTTTCCTCCTCCTATCGTTATTATTTTAATTAGTGTTCAGTTAAGAGAGGGAATGAGGAATAATGCCCTTCTCTGTAGGCTTACAGAGGGGAAGGAACATGGAACTGGAGAACTGCATGAGGTTCCTTGTGCTGGAAGGTGTAGCGAGCGTGGAGGCAAGAGCTGCAGGAACCTGCCTTTCCATCCCTGGTGGGCTCTCTGYGCTGTCACTTGGCCAGCGGCCTACCTGGACAAAGCTACTCTTTTATTTTCCGAAAACACGGATGTGCAGTCCTTCAAACTACAACTAAGTCATCTTTCTGTTACTAAAATGAAAGTCTGACTTGGGTGTTTAGTGGAATTCCACTTTGCATCCCACGTTGCCTTCATTTAATAAACCTGAATCCTTTCTGTAACGAGCTCTCTTTGCAGCTGTAGTGTGTTGCCCATCACCTGGACACTGGGGCTCTCAGTCGTGTTTAGATGCACGCCTGCTTTCTGAGCCTCTCAAGACAATGTTCAATTATGACAGAAATCCAAGTGGCTCTTTAACTTAGTGTCTGAGGTTCAAGATGAAGGTGAGAAATCCTGAATCCTTTCTCCCAATTTATGCACCTGTTTCAAAGGTGCATAAATTGGGAGAAAGACTCGATACTGAGATTTTGGAGTAATTCTGAGATGATCAYGAAGATTTATTAACTGGTGATTCTCCTGATACTAAATCAGCTACTTTACTACATAATAAAGTCATCATTCTGACTCTAATTTATGTATAACTCCACTGACTCTTGATAAAGAGTCTCACATATTAAAGAAAATGTGTTAATATCTTATTCTGTTTAACTGTGGACATTGTTACTGAATACATTGGGGTTTTTTCCTTTGGAAATGTTAATACCTTAATAAATATGCCCAGGATAAYTTGTAGTCTCAAAGATGGCACAGTTGTGCTGTTGTAGACACTTGAGTGCTTATTGTACTTAATGTAGATAAATTGCTAGGTCTGACAGGTATGGAAGAGTAGGTGAAATGGGATGGTTTGGGGGTTGTGTGAATGGTCAATGACATTTCCAAGCATTCACTGGTGGATTTATTCAACTCAGGGTACTGCTTACAATATTCTGAATAAGTGCCCGGAGCCCTGCAATGCTCTGTCATGTTCTGTGGCTTGAACACACGCGAATGTGGTAGCAAACTGATCTCTCCCTGTGCTTTACAGGTGTTGTATTAAGAGTGTTTATTTAACCTGTAAGGGAAGGGACCTTCTGTGCCCTCTTGTGAAATCAGTGTGCCAGGGATGGCTTTATCCTGCTATATTAAGATTGCATGCAGAGAYTAATACTAATGTTAGTAATAATCTTCTGCCCTAAGTCATGAATCACTACAGGCAATGACCAAAAAATACCCTGAACCCCAAAGCAAGCTGGTCAGGTCCTGCCGTGTGTTTTATTTCAACCCTTCTCTGATGGTCTCTGCACAGATAACTCTTGAGCTGTACTTGGTCMGACTTGAAAGTTAAAGGAGTTGGGCATCTTACAAGGATCTGCCTGGTGGACGTAATTTCCAAGTGATTAAGAGGAACTGCAGAAATGAAATGTCGGTTGAACCAGACTCTGGTTCCACGTCATTTGTAGGGGCTGATTGCAGCTGAATGAACCTGCTCAAAGAGCAGAAGGTACCGAGCTGGGAGCTGGGCCCTGACAGTTGTGTGGATGGAGGAAAAATGCAGAGTTGACTCTACTGTGTTCTTTAAAAGCAACATAAGTCAGTGGATGACTGTATCCACTTCTCCATACGGGAGATCTGAAGACGGTTTGTAACTTCATAGGGTAGTTTTTTATGAACTTGATGGATTTGGTAATGAGTTAATAATCGTCTCCTCCGCAGCTYGTCATGAATTCCTTTTGACGGCAGAGAGAGGTCGGCTCTGCTGGGCGCTCAGCCCGGGGCGCCGCGCAGGTTTGGTGGGTGGGTGAATCACGGGCAGCCCCTCGCCTGTTGCCTTTAGTGGTGCCCGGGACTGGGAGCCTCAAGGAAGAACTGGGGCCAGAGGCCCGTGCAGGAACCYACGTTTGGAAGGAAAGCTCCGTGTCACCCGCGGAGCGGCGGGAGGACGGCGGGACTTGGATGCTGCCTTCGGCTGGGAGAGCTCGGTGCGAGCACTCCCTGAGCAGCGCTCGGAGCTGCCAAGGAGCCTCCACCAACTCTGTAGCCTCTGGGACAGCTTCCCAGTAACCCCTGTCTGCACTGCTGGGATTTGGGTGGTCCATCCTGCCCCTCACGGCTTCCCACTGATGTGGGAAGGACCAGACGCAGCCAGACCCATCCCTGGGCTGCCCTTCGTGAATCACAGCTCCAAGTGCCAGCGCGACCCGGCACCGGGAACAGGGATTCCCAACCTGATGGGGAATGCCCAGCTTGAATAGGAGTGCCCAGCCTGCTGATGAGCAGCGCCCAGCCTGTCGTGGAGCGTCACCTTCGCTGAAGTCCGAGGCGGTGGAGGCTTCACTTGTGCCAAACTGTCACCTTATTTTTTATTTCACACTTTGCCTTTTTTGGGGGGAGAGGGTAACCAAAACCTGCCAATATTGTTGTAGCACCTGGTGTTATTCCACTTTGCAAATGTTTTCTGTTTTTGTTTTTTTTAACGGGAGAAACTTTTTCTTTGAAATTTGACGTTCTTGGCCTTAGCCGCCCAATGTAACACTGCAAAAGGCTGCCCATGTTGCTCCAGACGTGTTGCTCACTTGACTTGAGCCTGTCCCAAATGGATTGCTAAGATTGTTTAACAGTTCTTTGGAAAATTAAGTAAAAGTGTCGGTATAGGATTCTTTAAAGAAGAGAACACTTAGATTGTCACAGCAAACATAAATGACAGTCTGTACATTCTGCAAGTGTTACGGTTTTTATTCCAACTTTCAGAGTATCTTCTTTTATTTTTAGATGAACCTGCGTTCTGTATTTACTGTAGAACAACAAAGGATATTGCAGCGTTATTATGAGAATGGAATGACAAATCAAAGTAAAAATTGCTTTCAGCTCATATTRCAGTGTGCACAAGAAACTAAACTGGACTTCAGTGTAGTCAGGGTAAGTACYGAGGCCTTCCAAATTTATATGTTGAAGTTATACACATGGATTTCTTTACCTAAAGTATCTGTAGGGGGCTGGAGCCTCTACCTTCATACTTGTCTTTAAAACCAGACTTCAGTGTACTGTATGACATGTTCATTTTTATCCAGTGAATCTGTTCCTAGTTTGTTTTCATTTATATGTTTTCACGTAATTGCTRTATTTAGCAGAGGCCTGGGTATTGCACGAGGAGGGACTTTTTTCTTTAAATTGCAAACAGGATTGATGTGTGCAAAATGTGTGTGCAGTGTGTTGTATCAAAGACAGGAGCTGCTTTTGACCTGCTTTGTCACGTCTGTGTGCCTTGTTGAAAGCATAAATACTGTGCTCCTCGTGGTTAGTTACAGGGAGTACATTCTTCTCTTACAAATGGAGAATGTCCTAGTGCTAACATGATCTCTTCCAGGGTCTATGAATTCCACGAGAAGGGAAATAATAATCCCTTTGTGAAACGCTAGACAACAAAATGGCTGCAGTCTCAGCACAGAAATAGAAATCACAAAGCATTAGCTGAAAGAAAAACAACAGTAGTGAAGCCAGCGGGAGTCCCTGCAGCACTAGGCAGTGAGGAGATCAGGGTAGAACCTCCCTGGTTATCTCTACTGATGCTTTCACTGATGAGCAACTAAGAGAAAGAACCCTCTTGTTCCCAATTTCTTATCTGGGTTCCCTTTCCTCAACATATTCCAGGAATAGTAAGCACTTATTTTCTCAGCTAAGGATGGGAGGTAGCTCCAAACCAGCCAGAAATTCAAAGGYTCTAGAAGGGGCAAACGGTTGTGGTCTGGGTACAGGTGATACTGTCAGGGCCTGTTCTTTCCTCCTTTAGGGACTGAAGGAACTAGAGCCAGTCCTGCCTCATTCACTCTCACTATCTCCTTTTTTTTCTTCTCTATTTCCCTGCAATAATGTGTAATACACTTTTTTTTTWAATTATGTTTTTCCTTCTCACTGCTAAACTCTTCAGCAAGGGCTAGGACTGTATTGTCCACACAGTGTCTACCAAAATGATGCCTGAATTGCCACTGTCACTTGCAGATATTGACAGCAGTGGAAATACAAATGTATTTTTTTTTCTGAATCAGGATTTCTTTSTAAATAAGGAAAGACTTATTTATGATTTGGTGTTTAAAAACAAAGCACACACCAAAAAAAAAAAAATCTATACAGATTTTACAGCTGTGATACAAAACAAAAAGCCCCTTCTGAAACTGAGAGGCACAGAAGAGTTCCTTCAGGGGAAAATGCCTAAGCCTCTCCAAGTTTATGACAAGTTTATGATCTGAACTACGGAGGCCCTGACAGCCTCTTTTTGTCTGTTAGTAACAGGATAATTCTACTGCTCCTTTATGTCTTGGCATGAAACGTTGGTGTTGTGTCTTGGTAAAGCTCCAAGTWGTGCAAGTCTGATTTCCTAGTTAGGATTGCTGAGTGCCAAGAAGGTATCCATGGGGTATTGTGAGGGTCCCTTCCCCACAACAGGAATAGTTGTCAGAACACTTACAGCTTCATCATTCTTTCATATCTCTTGAAAGATTTCCCAAGGAAATCTGGTTTTCAGATTTAGGATAGAACTTCTGGTCAAAATTACTGGCCAAGAGCCACTGAAAGCCATTTTATGGTATGTATCTAGATTGTCGGAGAGTGTGAAGTTCCTTCTGTGCCTGATTCAAGCTGGGAACATAAAACCAAGATCTCCTAAATACCAGGTAACTTTCTTAATATCTGGATTTTTGATTTGTTGTCCTTTCTAGGAGTTTCTTCTTACAAATAACAGCTAAGAACTTTCAGTGTTACCCAGGAGAGGCTGCTTCCAAAATACAGTCGTTCAGCACTTGCTTGAAACAAAGGATCACGTCCCTTCTCTTAGGGATATTTTGTACTTAATGACTGCCCAGTCTCATCTCACATTAATGCCCTGTCAGAGTGTTAACAATGTGGAGCTTCCCTTTCCGCCTAAGGTTATAGTTTTACATAATTCTTCTCTGCCTCAGTGTCTCGCGGCGCTGAAAGTGGGAGGATTTGTACTTTTTCCTTTCTTCCTGCTGGGCTGTTCTTTATTTCTTGTACCGAGCATCTCTTGCATTCATTTAATTTSAGAGCAACCCAGTTCAAGTTCCTAACCTGACCCCAACTTTATTTTTCTTTTATCCCATTCACTTTTATGCCATTTTGGGGAGTTGAACTAACTGATCAGGCAGGTGGGGGGTCGTAGCTGCTTTTGGGAAAAAGTGGGAGCAGGAAGCTGGGAGGCAGGCAGGGGAATGGGACTYTTTCAGTAGTGACAGGCCTGACTCGAGTTATAAACTCTGGTTTAATCCCAAGTCATTAACAGTGCTGCAGAGTTGTGTGCATTTCTTTGAATGCAYTTCTTCTTGGGAAAACTAGGAGAAAAACCTTAGCTTTTAGTTTTACACTGTGGAGAAGTTGGAGGGAAATTTCTACTGGCTTAAAATTTGCCATGTAATTATCATTTCTAGCTTGCAAGCTTACTGACTGAGAAGAAGGAAGAGGGATCTGCCTTCTGTTGCTTTTTTTGTAGACAATAAATGAAAAATAAGATCTGTGGCTAATCATGTGTGTTACCATTTGTGTACCTAATCTTGCTTTTGAGAAGGAAAACAGACTTTATCCCTGTTAACTGAGATGTTACTGCATGCAGTAAATCATACCTTAAATTAGGTGTCTTATAAAATTTGACAGCAAGAGGAAGAATGGCCTGGAGACTTCAGCATGGCTCTGTGTGATGGCATGGGTTTTCTGCTGTAGGAAAGGTATTCAAATATTAAATAGGCATCAGTATATGCAGGAAAATTGATTTCTTTCATGCAATGCACCGAAAATCCAAGGTAGCCACTCAGTGAAGTTTGCTGGCTTGGGGATGGGGGAGACTTAAATGAACTGCTTTGTTTTGGTGCGTGTTGAGRTCTTGCTTGGGTTTGTTTTTAGGAGTGCAGCGCATGATATGCAGAGTGGTACAGAACAGAGTCTCATCGTATCTATATATGCAGTCATGTGTGTCTGATTTCTTAATTTATTTTTCTGTAACCAGCACAAGCAGATGCAAAAGCAGATGCTCAAAAAATGCTTATTTTTAGTTTTGGGCACTGCTGCCCTGCTCTTTTGTGCCCTCTCGTTCTGTACAGCCACGCTGTGGGGAAGGAGCTGAGCAGGTCCCGTCCTGCTGAGCGTCAGCGTTCCCAGGATAAGATTAGGTGCTTCCTACACTTCCAGTATTAGAGCCAGATAAAAAGCCATTAGCTTTTTATCTCAAAACACTGAAGTTGATGTTTTCCATTAAGTTCCTTTAATTATATCTTAATTAGTTCCTTGTAGGACAAGTTTTCCATGTGTTTAAATTATCAGTAAATATTATCTTGTGTGCATCTGTCATAGAAGTAAAAAAAAATACTTACTTGAAAAATCTAAGTACTGTTTTTTTGCACAAATCCTTGTTTTCTTTGTCACTTTCAGAAATATCCAGAACGTTAAACTTCTCTTTGAACCCAGTCCCCTTAGTTCTCATCTTGTCTGTTTGTGTCTTTCAAAAGCCCAYGGTGCTGATTTGGGCAGGTGGCAGAGGAGGAACTAGTCCGTAGCTGTAAACACTTACAAAATCTGATTTATTTATTTTTTCTTTTTCAACAGAAAGAGAGGTTTCTGCTCTTTTCTTCCATGTGCATCCAAGAGTTCTTTTCAAGGCTGTTTGGAAGGTCACGTCTATCAGCCACTTGATTATAAAACTTTAGCTATATATGTGTGTGTGTGTGTGTGTGTGTATATATGTATATATATACGTATACATATATATACACACACACACACACACATCAGTGATGGTTCTGCATATCAGGGTGCCACATGCAAAAAAAGGGAATTTGAGGGGAATTATGCAGAGAGGGACTGACGGAGCAGGTCTTAGCTTTGGTGTAGGAGGCACGAGGGAATCTCCCTGGGTTGTTGAGGAAGTGGGAACTTGGAACTGAGACTGGCATTCTCATCTGCCCTGCTGCACAAACCCCAAAGCCTGTGAGCATCCCCAGTCTGTGKTGTACTGGCTCTGCATAATCAATAAATGAACTACACGCTCAAGAACTTAGGTCTCAACTTGCTCACTTAAGCTCTCATCAGGTCAGCTTAAAAATGAGATCTGTAACTTTTCTGTGTATTTAATCCCTTGTTTTATGTTTGTTTTCATTGTTGCTGGTTGTTTGCAGACGTGGGTTGGCAATAAAAGGAGGAAGATGAGCAGCAAGAGCGCGGCCGAGCCTGGGGGCGCTCCCGCCGGGGCTGGCCCTGCTGCGCCCTCCGTGCCGCCGGAGGCAGCCGTAAGGAATGTGGTAAATATTGCGCGATCCCAAAGCCAACAGTCTGCTTGGACCTCTTCTAATAACGATGTGATAGTTACTGGTATATACAGCCCTGCCAGTTCGTCTGGCAGGCAGGGATCCGCCAAGCAGACAAATGCTTCAGTGGCAGAAATGCATAAAAACGCCATCCCGAAACTGTCGGGAAAAAGCGATGCGGAGTTTCAGCAGCAGCACATCCCTATAGGACGGCAAGTCCCGCATTGTAAAAACGCTTCCCTGTTAGTAGGGGGAAAGACTATTATTTTGTCTAGGCAAACTAGCGTACTGAACTCTGCCAACTCCATTTATAGTCACACTAAGAAAAGTTACAGTGGTTCTTCAGTGCAGACAGCGGAGCTGGTGTTACCTCAGAAGCCGGTGATTTGCCACAGGCCGTGCAAAGCTGAACCCGTGGGGTGCCCGAGGCTGCAGAAAACGGAACACGCAGCCCTTGCCTCCCACATCCCGCTCGGCCAAAGGGCTGGCGCTAGGGACCCTTCCTGTAGCACCCAAAACCTGGAAATCCGGGAGGTGTTTTCTCTGGCCGTGACGGATCAAGCGCCGAGGGCGGTGGGCAGCGGCGCGGCGCAGAGGCCCTGCTCCCTGGAAGGCACCTGCCTCTCCATCGCGATGGAGACCGGGGACGTCGAGGACGAATATGCCAGAGAAGAGGAACTCGCCTCCATGGGGGCACAGATACAAAGCTATTCGAGATATTGTGAAAATAACAGCTCTGTTCGAGCGGAGAACCAAAGTGCAGCCTTGTCCGGGCCGGGAAGGAGCGCGAGCTGCAGCTCCCAGATGGGGAATGCCAGGGACGGGCCTGACAACGTGCTCTATCCCCACAGAGACTACCACTTACCTGCACGGACCTCACTACATACAGCGCCCAGTACGTTGTATAACAGTGCTAATCCTCCAAGAAGTACTTTTTCTCCTCATTTTACATCTTCGAGTCAACTGAGGCTGTCACAAAACCAAAATAATTACCAGGTAATCTGTCAGTTTATTTCTGTATTCAGTTCCTGAAGACAAGGTCATAGTTAGGTACTGTTTTGTTTGAAAATTGGAAATTAATAAGTGATAGGTTCCTATTTCTGCATGCTGTCTTCTGTTTGTGTCTGTTAGTAGAGATAATCCCTTAAACAGAAAGCAAAGTCATGGCTGCACTTCTGTGCTTCACGTGACATTTAGATTTACTTTAGATTTTGGGGGAGTTGGGGGTTTAATTTTTTTAAATAGCTAGAATATCTCAAAAAATGTGTGTGTTTAATTTATCAAGCTTCTGATGAAAATCTTTAACTTAGGGAAATCTACTTTTAAAAATGGCCTAAACCTGAGTTACTTGGCTGTTGGAATAGTCGAACATCCAAGCGGATGCTTTTACAGTCGTGAATGTGTGATTTGTGTTTTGATGAAGTAATTACTGTTATACATTGGTGGGGAATCTAATTAGCAATTAGTTATAGCTCCCTTACTGATTCAATTAATCAAATTCATGTTAATGTAGCCGAAGAGTAAATTTAATAAAATCCTCCATTTCGATGCCTGAGCAGTTGTGGCAAGCACGTTGCTCGAGCTGCTTACTCTGTTCCTTCAGCCTGGCTTTGCCTGTACGAACTGGAGAGATTCTTCTTCCTAGATCAATGTCCTCAGGAGTGGCTACTGATTTATTTTCCTCTCCTCCTAGCCTTAAGGAGCAAAAATACTGTTGCAATTTGTGTACGTTTTGTTTTGTTATGCAATGCACGCTGGGGCACAGAGTTTCCAATTTTACCCTGTTATTTTCTAGGGGAAAAGAATCTAGGCCTTGTAGCTGGTGCAGCGGAATAGGAAGGTACAGATTTTTTCCAGCGATTGACCACGAGGATCCTGGCTCACGAGCTCGGAGTTTTTTGTGGTCTTTGCTTTGGAAATGGGACATGTTGAAGTGATTTGGGTGATTGAAGTGACTTCCCTAGAGCTGGGAGCTGTGGGGGAACCCAGGGCAGGAGGCTGCGGAGGGGCYGCGAGCCATTCCTGGAGACAGGATGAGCAAGAGTAGGACGTGGGTCCCGGGAATTTGCAGTAGCCCCTTGCCTTTGGCCTGGGGAATCCACAGAAGGATCGGGAAGGAGGTTCCGTGAGGACTTCTTGCCGTGTGACCTCGTTGGTGACGCTTTGGTACTGGCAGCGCACAGGGTTTGCGGCACCTTGGAGCCTTCCGTGGCATCTGCAGGAGCTTCTCTTTGTCCCCGCTTCCCGGGAGCCACAATGTGCCCTCTGGGATGAGGATTTTAGGTTGTCATATTTGCAGCTTGCTGTAGCTCTCCCGGATGGGCTAAGCCTAATGTTAAACCTGCGGATGTGTCTTGGTGATGGGGACTTTGACAGGAAAAGCAACCCCCAGGCTCGGCTTGTGCCTTGTCCTGTGGGGTCAGTTAGGATATTCCTATGTACGTTGTCTTTCAAATAATCTTTTTCAAGAAATTGAGATGAATTTCACTGTGTTTGGCATCATGTCTGTGAGAACTTGCCTGCATTGGCCTTCCAAGGAACTGCTAGTGCCTTACTAGGCTCGGTTCTTTGTTCACACAGAATAAGAATAGCGCTTTTTTCTAGAGCCTCACTGCAAATCTTTTGACACTTTAGGAGTAAGAATCTAATGCCCTGTAATTCCTAATTCATTAAGGAAAAAACCCTATCTATTACTATTGTAATAGATATTACCTTTAACAATATACAATTACAATCAAGTCTCAGTGAAAGATTTGAAATGAAAGCTTGTAATTTGAAGCACTTTAAAAACAGTCAAAAAAAGAGATATATCTGAGATACCATGGTGTGAGTTTACCTTCATCTAAAGAAAGCTTGGAGAGTTACAACATTTCTAGCCTTACTTTGAGTTTCTTTACAACAGTAAGACTAAGCRAGACTTTGTTTTGATTTGCATCTAAAGCCCTGACTTAAACACAGTTAGCAGAACTGAACGCCCAATATTGCAATCTTGTGAAAGCTACTCGGTATTACCAGCTCTCATAGTGACCTAAGCTGTTAATTTTTTTGTTCTATTTTCCGTTTTATCCATGCAGATTTCAGGAAACCTTACTGTGCCTTGGATTACAGGTTGTTCCAGAAAAAGAGCAGTAAGTATATTTCCATTTTACTAGCTAATGAATTGAGTGAGGGAATGAAAAGTTTATATATGCATTTTTGAAAATGTCAAGTATATTTAGGTTATGTACATTTCATTTTTAATATTAGTTAAAGTATAATCTGCAAATAAAATGCTTCAGTTACCATAAGGCTGATTTGTAGATTTAAAAGCAGGTCAAAATTACCCTTCGTTAAGTAATGTGACGCCCAGGTATATCAACTGTGAAATTAGCTATAATGCCTGAATAAATAAGAACTAAGAGTTTGGAGCCCAGAATGCACGTTTTTATAGTGAAAATGAAGTGGTTGTTAATTGAAAGACAACTGAATGCTTAGGAGAGTAACAGTTCTTTTCAGTGGCCATGTGTGCATGCGCGGCATTAGTCCTTGCTGTCTGAAGTKGCTTTCTCAAATCCAATTCAACCCACACGTGTTATTTTACCTGAAGCAGAATCAGCCAGGTTGGTGTCCTTGATTCATCAATGACTCCAAAGCATAATWCAAGGTATGAAACAACTTTTGCAGGAAAATACCGCTTTCTATCTCCTCGGTTCAATTACTGCCCAGTGTTCCAGTTCGGYAGCAGTCCCATAGCTCCTGTTTGCAGAGCACATAGATTCTGCTTGCTTGCCATGAGAACGTACCCTACAGCGGCAGCTTTGATGGTGCAGCTGAGCTGCTCTGATGTTCTCAAGAAGCAGTTCCTTATTGGCCTGGCTACATCAAGAGCAGTAACGAGGGGGRCGGCTGTCCCGGTAGCCAAACGTGCCCCGTGGTCGCCTCCAAACCGTGGGGCTGCCTGTGCTGTGGATGACCAGCGAGTGGGAGAACCTGCCCTTGCCGCCTCCTCTCTGCCCTGCCTGCTGTTGGCTCCTTGGTTGTTTCTGTTGGCTGTTCAAGAAACCTTTGCCTAGTTTGTTCATGTTTCCTTTAACAGTGAAAGAACAGAAAATTACATTAATTYCTTTTCTCAGACTTGTGAGAGGTGCCAACTAGAGTCCATTTCTATTCAGACTTTGGTAGTATCACTTCACAAGCAAGGGCCTCCTCCAGAGGAAGCAGTACTTCATACAAATCTTATTGCTGTTCACTCCACCAGTTTATTTTTTTCAAAGTCCTAGTTCTCTTGAGTAGGCTTATATAAACACAGCCTTTTTCTTCTTGAAATCACCTTTTCCTGCTGCCATCTGATGCCTTTTGAAAGCACCAAGCAGCTTGTCAGTGTCCTAGGGTACAGTTTCACTTTTTGGCTGAAAGCAGGTTTTTTCCCCCGTTCCTGTTGGTGCGTCAGCCCTGTTGGCAGCGCTGGTGCTCGTCTCTGGTTGCAAGGTAATTCAGGGCAACCGTCTGACCTGTCTGATAGACATCTCTTCTGCTGAGTTTGTCTTTTTACTGAGCTGAATGTACTTAATAGGGATCAGATAAGTGCCAGAGACAGCTCAAAGCGAGCAGCAGGAGCATGTGGCTGGGAGCAACGAGGAAAGTGGGGCAGCAAGAAGTGGCTGCAAGCTGTTAAGTTGCTCCTCTTTATTAGCAAACCAGCATCTCGGAACGTCCCCAGGTGCCCTCCACGTGAGCCCAGCGCGAGCAGGGGCCGCAGGATACAAGCCGAGCTCCCGCCGAGGCTCTTTGCAGCCGGGCACAGCGGGGCTTGTCCTGCTCTCGCCCGCAGCCCTCACCTGCTAGGTGTTGAGAACAGCTCTGGAGAGCCCAAATCTTTCGTCTTCTCTCCAGTTCCTGTTATCATCAATGTATAGTATTTAGAGAGGACACCTTAACTTTAATGGTGTGCAAACTGATGACAAATCCAGAGGTTTTTAAGTCCTTTTGCTGTCGTTCAGACTGTGATGCCTTATGTTCCTCTTGGACAGAATTAAATTCAAATAATTAGTGTTGAAAGACAATTGATCACATTGTGCTTCTCCATCAGTTTTTATTTTTCTCTGTGTGCCAACTAATGAGTCACCAAACATTTGCAGGGACTTCAAGCCATTAGGTCACTTGGGCCTGACCATAMCTTAGGGTGTGTTTATGGTGGGGAGGCAGTGAGAGACAGGCCAGGTGGGGATGGACCTCCTTGAGGCTTGGGACAGCACGGGAGCCCCTCTGTATTGCAGCAGGAAAAGACATTTTAGCTCCTGTGGAGCTACAGATCCAGCTCACTGGAGTCTTCCGTAGTGGGGGAAGCTGCTGTGCTGCTCTACTCGCGTTTGCAAGCGAAAGCTCTGCAGGAGTGAGTGGGGTCTCCAGGGGGATGGCTGGGGGTTCCACTTTCTTCTGGCGTTTCAAATATAGCTCTTTTTCCCCACAGCATGCTGTACACCAACTCTTATTTTGAGGGTAAGCGTTGCAACTTCACCCTTCTATAGCTTGAGCTTTAGATGTTCAAAACCTTGAAGTTAATGGAAGGCATTTCCATTAACATCAGTAGCAGCATTAGCATCGCTTCTCTCCCTAAACTGTAACATAATCACCTGTTTTTTCAGTGTAAACTACTGCTTTTCAAGCTATTTTGTCCTCAAGTGCCTGCATGAGTCACTTCTGCTATTCATCCCTTTCCCTTTTTACTTCTCCCACTCCCTTGCCAACCTGATGCAGCACCAGATGGTTTTATGTTTAGGAAGTTACTGTGCAACTGCTTCCCTTCCCCCTTCTTATTTTGTTCCACTGATTACTCGTTACATCAGCGTGTGAGAATGCACCCGAGTGAGAAGTGCTGATGTAAAGAACTGCAGAAGCTGCTGCAGGGAGTCTGTTAYGGATATGGAGGTTACCCTATGGGCAAAGGCCAGTGTTTTCCTACAGCAGTCCTCACAGTGCAGCGTAAAATGCAAACGGTGGGTACCTATTGGTATGAAGAGTAGAATAAAACCTCTTTTTTTATCAGGAACTCTCCATAAATTACTCTGGAGGATAATATTTACCCTTATTTGACAATTGTATTTGCCTTCTGACTTAGGCATAGTTGCAGCTGTTTAAACAAGACGGTACTTGGAGTTTTTAATCTACGATGTAGTCAGGGAGCTGGGTGCTTTGTGGKCTATGGTGGAATGGAGAGGAGTGGGGTTTTACAGGGGGCTGGGGAAGTGCTAATGGGAAGACCAGTAGGATGTGAGAGGAGGTAGTTTGCCCACAGGGAAAAGGAGACTTGCATGGCATTTTAAACAAGGGAAATGTGCTTGGAGTCATTACCCTTCATGTCTTTAAATACTAAATGGGGTCATCAATGTCAGCTGAGGTCTCTAAACTTTCTGTATTTKCTTCAGCGGAGTAAGTCACGTGTGGTCTGCAGGCAGAGCTAGCGGGAGCCGTGGGGGTCAGGTGCTGAGCTGGAGTCCAGGAGCGGGTGAGAGGATGAAGAGGAGCGTGGCGGCTCGGCCGAGGGCCGGGCTGTGTGTGGGGCAGCCCTGGCCTCCGGAGGCTGTGTGTGCCCGGTGAGCACGGCGAGGGAGAGCTCTGCAAAACCACCTGCACTTTCAGGAAGGGACTTCCTGGCTCGCGGAGCAGCGTGGCACCGTCCCACGTTTTGCAGCACCCACATTGTATGGAATGATCGTCATGTTAGATCCGTGACAGAAAGCACAGATGAAATTTCTAGGAGAGCTTGAAGTCTTCAAGGATATGGGAATGCCTGTTCATTTGTGTAACCAGAAACCACAGTTAAGTTACGGGTTTTCTTAGTCCTTCGCACCCACATCCTTTAAAAATAAGTGATAAGTGGTTAACACAGTTAAACCAGTCAATATTTGTTTCCATAAAATATTTTTTCAACCTCATGTTTTATCAACATATCTTGGCTTTTTTGATACATTCTCTAATGTYTAGTATTTTGGATATGATTCAACAAATCTATCTTCTGCAATTTCAGATAACAGTGCTTTGAGATGTGAAGTTATCATGTACAAACACSATGTACTTCTAGTTTCAAGCCACTTGATCAAACATGACTGGTTACACACTGAACATCAGCATCACTTGAGTTCCTACCACACCACCTTGTGGAACAACTAGCTTTAATCCCAAACTTGCTTTTAAGTAATGCTGYAATGGAATATGAGGGTAGCTCATCCTTATTCTTTGGTTAATATTGCTGTTCTATTGAAGGTTTCCATAAAGACAGAGCTCAGGTGTGTTCCTCTGTGTTCCTGCTTTAGACCGGAATTCCATAGCCAATAATGCCACTAAGAAAAAGTGTTTAAGAAGCTCTTGTCTGAGCCCTGTTGTATCGTCTGTGCTACCATAGACGATCAGGAAGAAGGCCAGCTTGGGAAAATGAACCAAGCTGAAAATAGTCGGTTCTTAAAATGGGGAACATCTTGCTGTGTTAGCTCAAGATGAACCATATGGTTTGTCATGCAGCCATATGAACAGTTGCAGTGAGGGGACAGGGGGCTCAGACAGTGATGCAAAATCAGGATGAGCAGAGGTAGCTGCAGACACTTTCAGCTCACRTTACTGCCAAAAAATCCCTGTTTGTCAGACTAAGCCCATACTGYTCTGTGAGGAGTATAATCATTTTTAGAAGTACTTGAAATAACATTTAAGGACTTTAAATAACCCAGGAGTTGGATGGAGATAGTTGTAACAAAATGTGTTACTACTAYGTTTTTCTCACCTACTTCTGAATGACAGGCCTTGCTAAGGGTAAAAGTAAAGCTGGCTTCTGTGAACTCTGAGCTTGAAAACCATGTGGATAGATTTTGCTTTTCAAAAAGAAAGCTCTAGAAAGCAACAGAACGTGTTCACTGTAGCAATACATTTTACATCTAATTGTCAATCTGGTCTGGGAAATACTGTTAGGTAGAGATTGCTGTTTGCTGTCATTGACTAGTTAACTTCATGTTCATTTTTCTATTGTTAAGTACCCTGAATTATGATATTTATAAGGCTTTGATCTGGCCGTATGCAGAGCTGCTCAGGTCAAGCCACGAGGTTTGAAGTTTAAGCTGTGACAGCCTTGGGTAAAATGATCCTGACAAAATGTCTCWCT